AGATAGATAATAGATTAGATAGATAGGATAGATAGATAGGATAGGGATAATAGTAGATTATTGCCATTATTATGACACCATACACTGTCCCACAATTATTATGAGCATATACTGTTTTTGTTCTTTTTTCTGGCAGTCAAGTAGGATTTTCTTTCCCTCAAAACAATTATATCGTAATCTTTTACTAATATGACAATGGCTTGTTGCAAATTAACTCCCAAAATCAGTGTTCGCAAATTAATTATGCAAAACAGAAGTTTCAAACACTCAGTGGTTTCTAAAGGATTATAAAACATCAAAAACATCCTTTAAGATCGAGTTGCATATTAACATAGAGCCCTTCTTTTGATATCACCATTAATAACTTCTCTCATCCATTGAACAATTGAAATCATATTTGCATAATAGGTAGTACTCTGGGCTGACCTTTGAGGTTTAAATCCTACCTGAGCTTTGTTTGTGTATCTCCCTTATGCTCAGTCTCTCTACCACAGAGTAAGGAGTCTGTCCCTTTTCCTCAAGATAAACTTTCCTCTGCCTTTTATTCTATTTTATTCTCAAGTGTGCCTTGTATGTAGTTCCCGGTTCACACAGGATTTAAAATTTAAAAGGATTTAAAAAACATTTCGCCAACAGCCCAAACAGAATTACTTCTCTCCACCTCTGTTCATCTGTCCCTCTCTCTGTGGCTGCTCTTCTTACAGACACACCTTAACATTGTCACCAGGGGCCATTTTCACATGCTGAAAAAACTCTTAGAGCGCTCTTAACTTGGTCCAAAATGTACTAGCAAGGACTCCCAGCATAGGAGTGAGCTACAGTATGAATAGACCAGATGTTTTCTGTCTGTGAAAAGGGGGCAGTTGACTGGATAGTCTGATGTGATGCTGTTTTTAGATGTAGTTTTTTGGTCAATAGAAAAATCCCTCTTTTAGTCACTTAGGCACTTACAGTGGATCATTACAAACAAAGTTTATGATCATGTGTCGATTACAAAATAAAAGTTCTAACAAAAATGGTGATTTTGTATTCCAAATCCTAAAAATGGATGAGTGAGTTGATTTCCACAGATGATGAGGATTTTTTGCTACTAATTGTTTTTAAACTCATTAGTAGAAGAGTAGTGTTTGCACCTGGTTAGGCTACATATACGTTTTTCACAGCAGACGTGTTTACATTTCAGGAAAAGGACCGGTGTAATTAATAAAATGAATTATGGCTGCAAGTTTAAGAGCCTCTGGCTTTGCTTAATGGGACACTTAAACCTACAGTATGTAATTTCTGCTGCTACGGAGTCTCTCACATCCAAACAATAACAAAAGTTGAAGTTTGATGATATTGATGGGAGCCATCTCTTCACCACCATTACCATTATTCCAGGCAACTTCTCCCAGTTATGATTCCTTTAGTGTTTATTGTTCAGGAGTTTTTTTTTCACTGGCAGCCGAATTATCTGCAGAGATTTCCTCCTCTCCAAAACAAACGGATCCAGTGCATAAAACCTGTAAAAACACAGAATAAGCAGTTTCATCCTAAAAATCAGCTTGTAACCTTTTTCAACCTTTGTCAATACAATTTCAGATTATTTTAAATGTTTTTTCAAAGTCTTTAGTTTTAAGTATTTATTAAATAGGGATCATTTTTGACGGTTATGAGTACACTTTAATACCCTATAAGCTATATTTTGTGTGTTAAGGGAGTATGGCTCCATGTGTGCATCCTTACAAAAATCTGATGAGATTTACTGGGAATAGCTTCCTCTTGTTTTACACTGTCGAGGAGGGCTGATGAGAGTTGTAAGCTTTGTTGTTGTAGCTGCAGAGGTGTAGGATTGGGTGTCAATTCTCAGTGGCCTTGGCAGTGCTTGTGACCTTTTCCACATTAGTCATTTGATGAAGTGATAATACAGAGCTTAACAGAGCTTTAAGAGTCCTCTGAGAGTATACTCAGATTGTATTGTGTGTCCCCCGGCATTTACATTTTAGAGATCTTTCTATTCTGTCCTAGCTTAGCATAGTAAAGCTCTGTTAGCATAGAGTAAACCCCTTTAACATAATAAAGATACTAAGCTTTTGTCTGTATTAGGTTTTAAATGTTTTTTTTTACCATTTAACTTTTAGTTCTAGCACTGGATGAGATCATACAAAACTAATGGTGCATTCAAATTTGCATCATGTTAATGTGTTACAGTTATGAGCGTGTGTGTGTGTGTGTGTGTACAAGTCTATTCTTGTAGAGTAGTGTGCTTATTCATTAATGGTTTCTTTGTGTTTCTACAGAGTGTTGGAGTGCCAAGGACTTCCAATTGTCAACGGCCAATGTGATCCCTACGCTGCTGTCTCCCTACTAGGACCTTCAAGGTCAGATCTCACACGACTTGACATGCTTTCATCAGTCACCAAACACAACTTTGTTAATCACGTGGAGGAACTTTGGATAAACATGGTTTTATCTCCCTCTGCCTTTCTGCTTGTCTCAGGTCGGAAGCCAAGAAGACCAAGGTGAAGCGGAAAACAAACAATCCACAGTTTGAGGAGGTTTTCTATTTTGAGGTATGTGTGATTTTAATTAAACATTAAAGAACTGTGTGTAGGATTTAGTGGCATCTTGGAGTCAAGTTTCTGATTGCAACTAACTGAACACCCCTCGCGTCTGTATTCCCATGATCTGGGAATGAGAACAGGCTGTGAAGAGTGTAGGAGAAACTACGGTGACCAAAAAGGTCACCAACCTTGGGATTATAAAATTCGGATGCAGTCTGAGTGGTTTTAGATATTAACGTTCATAGTTGTCATAACCTAGATAGCAAAACTGACATGCAGTAAAGATGTCTTTTATTGGTCAAAATAACAGGCATCCTAAATATATTCTGGACTTAAAATTAAAGTCCTACCAAATTTGAATTGTTTTTTAGAACAGATGTTTTGCCTTCTAACTTCGAGTTACTAGGTAGTCATTGTTGTTAATAAATGTTAATAAATGTTAGCATGTGCTGTGTAATTGACATCAACCAGCTAGTTGACTAGCATAATAACGTTAGCTTTCACCAAATTCAAACAAGGACTCTCACCTTAACTAGTTGACATATTTTTATTGAAATCATAACAGATGGTGGGCTTTTGTATATTATATGTTATATATTTGTTAAAGTTTATGTAAAAAGGAATTCAGAAAAAACAGCAGAAACAACACACTTGTGTGTGTGTGTGTTGCTGTAAACAAAATGTTTACAGCAAAAAAACATGTCACAGTTTAACACTTTTAGATATTTCGTGCAATCACGCTCACATACTCCCTTTCATAAAGTTACTACTGACGAGGTTTGTGTGATAAAAGTTCAGAAAAATTAGCAAAAGCAACTGAAAACATAAATATTTGCAGTATTTATTTATTTTTTTTAAATATCTTTTTAAAAACTGTTGACATTCCTTCATATTCATGAGTTTATATTTATAGATATTTTTCATACACACACACTCCCTTTCACTCTGCCCCCGTTAACCCTCGATCACCAGCAGCACCACTCTCACATTTTTGTGTCGCCCCTCCCTCTGGCCTCCCCGCTGCAGCACTAGAAGACAGCAGGACAACAGTATGATTGATTCGGACAAACCACCAAACAATCTGGCCCATTGATTTCTACCCGACAAGACCGTCTCATTTATTCCCCACCACCACATGAGCAGGACCCTACATACCCTGTGGTGCCTTCTGCCTGCAGCCCCCCTCTGAGTCACACACAGAGGTCCATGTCCACACCCAAACACAGGCCTCTATCTATCATGTTTTTGTCATAGGGTTGTCCTTTTTTATTCTATAGAAATGTAATTTTTTTCATTGCTCCAAACTAACACAGACCCTGCCACATTCTGATCTTTGATAATTCCCATTTGCATCTAAAACTGCCAGATAGTGAGCTTAGAGTTTGATTTGGGTCAAGGCTTGTTTTGGCCTAGTTAAAAAGAAAACAACTACTAATTTCAACAAAAATCAGCTTTACCGCACAAATTATATAATTTGCTTTGTAATGTAATGACGTCTCAATTAGGGCTGCAGTTTACAATTATTTTCGTTATTTGTTAATCTGCAGATTACTTTCTTGATAAATTATTTGATGTGTAAAATGTTGGAAATTAGTCTAAGGTGACATATTCAAACTTCTTTTTTTTTGTCAAGACGGTAAAGAACAAACAAACTAATTTTACCGTCATAAATGACAAACAAAACAGACGAATATTCTGTAAATCGATTAATCAACTCATTGTTTCAGCTCTAGTTTCAATAATCTGTGTTTGCTTCCACCAGCCTCCCATCCCAGGAGGATATCCTTTCCATATATGTTTTATACTCAGTGTTTATGTCCATTCCTAGGTGACGCGGCCATTAAGTTACACAAAGCGGCAGTTTGACGTTGAAGAAGAGGATGTTGACAAGCTGGCCCTGAGGTGAGCCAGTAGCTGTCTTTAAGGGCTTAGGAGACAGTGTGTCAGTGACTTTGTTTCGTCTAAAGATTCTCCCGTGTCTGAAATGTATCCTGTGGTTTGTGTTCAGGGTGGATCTGTGGAACGCCAGCAACCTGAAGTTCGGGGACGAGTTCCTGGGAGGTGTGCGTGTTCCTCTCCGGGTCCTGGGTCAAGCTGGGGTCCACGACGCATGGTGAGAGGAAACTTCACTCACACGTCGCATCCTCCTCCTTTCACACACTCCCCTCTGGACCCGTCAATCATTTCGGCTCTTTTTTATGTTTTTTTTCCCCCACTGGACAAGTACTGTGCTGTACCCCTGCTGGGGCTGGGTGGGTTTGATTTCATTATCATTGACATTCTGAGTATGTGTTGCCATAGCAACGGCAGGGCTGTAGCAACAAGTATCAACACCGACAACAAGTCTTCTATAAAGTTTTTTTATTTAACCAGGGCAGATTTCGCTGAGTATGAATAGTCTTTTCCCCCATTGCTGATCCAACAGAGCCTGTTTTCGTATTTTGCCTCAGACTACATGTTTCTTTTGGAAGACACGACACTTTGCCTCAGTGAATGATGGGAGCTCCGCTTTGGAAATCTGTACGAAGAGAATAAAAGTCCAGGTCAGAGTGGAATAATCATTTTTGATGACAGTTAAACCTTCATCAATTTGCAACACGCTGTGAACACAACACTGACATATAATATTATGAAGTTGATAAGAACGTATTTACACATCAAGTAGACACTTAGCAACGTTGGCACCCGTTTGGAGCTGTGTTTCTGGTCTAATATTCACTCTGTTTATAGCCCTGTTTTGATCTCCAACAACTCTTGAGGGAAATATGTGGCTCTTGAACTGCTAAAGGGTCAACAGTGTTCACCAGCTAGTCTCTAACTGTGCCTATGTGCAGTGTGGTGCTGGGCAGGTAGCGTACAGTGTTTTTTTTTTTTTTGTTGTTTTTTTTTGTGTTTTCACTGAACAGCTGCCAGAGAAGAAGTTGATGAGAGCAGTGTGATTGAGCCAAAACAATAAAGTTGTGGCCCATAAAAACAAAACAGGCTATAGAGCTCTGTAGAGCTGAGGAAATCAGTCATGTGATGTTTCTCTGTGGGGTCGCCAGTAAGCAATGATGAGCAGCTTACACATCATCATTTTTATTATCATTAACATAATAATATTGGTTAATTGGTCTGATCGTAGATCTTATATGCTTTTTTCTTCTTCAGGTACTTTCTCCAGCCCAGGGAGAACGGAGGAAAGTCGGTGAAGGTAGAAGAGCTTGGCTCTCTGCGTTTGAACATCGTTTACACTGAGGACCACGTCTTCCCCTCTGAACACTACACTCCCCTCAGAGATCTGCTGCTGCACTCTGCTAACGTAGGGGTAGGTGCACATGCATGTGGCTCTGCTCTGCTCAGACATATTTTGGTGTCCCGCAGCATCTTGTACTGTTTACTGCTTTACACCTTTTAAATGTTACGTGTCCACTCCTCTCCGTTCAGCCTGTGTCAGCGTCCACGGCTCATATTCTGGGGGAGGTGTGTCGAGAGAAACAAGAAGCTGCCATTCCCCTCGTGCGCCTGTTTCTTCACTATGGCAAGATTGTGCCTTTCATCAGCGCCATCGCTCACGCTGAAGTCAACCGCACACAGTGAGTGTCTTATCGGATCTTTTCACATTGCATAACACCAGAAACCATATCTCACAACTAATACTTGTCACACATTGACCCTTCCAAGTTCTCCTGTTGCTCTGTGCTCCTATAATTGTTGAGCAAGCTTCGGTCCAAACATCAGCCAACTTTCTCCTTTGCTGTGTGCTAAGTTCATCTGTGTTGAAAAGACAACTACATTTTGAAGATGGTTAAAAGATTTATAGTCACAAGTTAGCTAATGTGAACAAAATCCCTGCCTTAACTTAAATGGGAATAAATAAGTTAATTTTCATATAGTAACCTAATTTTTAGCTAGCTAGCTGGATGTGGCTATATATATATGTATATGTATATATATATATACACACATATATATGCCATTCATTATTTTTTAACCATCTTTAAAATTTGGTTGTCTTTTCAACACAGAAGAGCCTTGCTCACAGCATACCTCAGCACGGGATTTAAGAAGGGTCAATTCAGTTGCATAAATTCATCTCTCATCTTGCGGACATCCTTTAAAGCGCACTTACTACCACTGAGGAAACATAGTTATTTTATTAGAGATTATTAATTAAAGTGACTTTCCAAATGAGGTAATCAGATTTATGTACAAATACAAATAAGCTCAGAATCTTTTATTTGACTGTAAAAACAAATATAGACACAGTAATGTTATTTATTAAATTACTCACAAAATCACATTGTTTATTAAGTTGCAGTTTTAATTGTATTGAAAAAATGAACACACTCTGCCTCTCTGTGTAGGGATCCTAACACCATTTTCCGGGGAAACTCGCTGACTTCCAAGTGCATCGATGAGACCATGAAGCTGGCAGGAATGCACTATCTGCAAGTCACACTCAAACCCATCATAGATGAGGTATGGCACTGCAATACTTTGGTATGTCTTGATTTAGTCCATGTCATATGTCTTAGTTATCAGTTATGAATGGATATTTCAGTACTTTTTTAAATCGTCACAGATCTGCACAGAACATAAACCCTGTGAAATCGACCCGGTCAAGCTCAAAGAGTCGGAGAACCTGGAGACGAACAGGGTAAGAGGATGAGTGCGTTTGTTTGTTTGTGTGTTTGTTTGTGTGTAGTCACTGTGTAATCTGACGTATCTGCCCCTCAGGAAAACCTTCGTCATTATGTAGACCGTATCTTCAATGTTATCACCACCTCTGGTGTTCGCTGTCCGACCGTCATGTGCGATATCTTCTTCTCTTTGAGAGAGTCTGCTGCCACCCGTTTCCAAGGTAACGCACTTCCTGAATGAGAGAGATAGAAGAGAATGAAGCAAATTGCTAATAAGGAACAGGAAACAGACAATAAAGAACAGGATGTGCAAGACGTCCAAGGACACTTTGTGCTCTGCTGTTTGTGTCAAACCTGAAAACAATTAAGCCTCCTACACACTTATTATGGTTATGTGGAGTGTTGAGTTTGTACTCCCTTTGTCATATACTGTGCTGCCCCCTGTTGGTAATCACAGGACACTGTAGTCACATGCTGAACAAGCACACATGAGAAAAAATTTATAGTTTTTATTTCTGTGTCATAGCATAGCAAAAACATCAGACAACATCATTATGACATGAGTACTATATGCTTTCAATTAACATATTTATGTGGAAAGAAATTCCAAATATACTCCACTAAAAAGAACTGCTACAAGCCTGCAGTTTAAAGGTTTTTTTCTAATCTCCCAGGCTTTCTTTAAGGGACTGGCTAATTTAAATGTTTCCTATGTGAACTGCAACTCAGTCTTTGTGTATCATCCGTATTTACAAAATAAAGTTTTTATCTTACTATACAAAGTAAAACACAGTTCACAGTAGAAGAACAAGAGGAAACAAAAAATTATTTATTTATTATTTTTATTTATAGATATAATTTAAGCAATAGTGCGTGTGATAAATTGTTGTTTTTGTTTTTTTCCCCGCTGTCTAGTCGACCAAGATGTCCGTTACACGGCAGTGAGCAGTTTTATTTTCCTGCGTTTCTTCGCTCCAGCCATCCTCTCCCCCAACTTGTTTCATCTACGGCCGCACCATCCAGTGAGTCAGATCTTTTTTTAAACCACAGACACGTGCACACATCCCTGTGAAAATAAGTGCTGCTGTAGACCTTGGAAACAGTAGCTTCTGATTATATCACATGCTTTTCATCAGCAGGGTTGATTTAGTTGCATTTTTTTCACATTAAGGTCTTCATGGCATTAAAGCTTCTTCTTTTCTCTGTAGGATCCCGCCACCTCTCGAACCCTCACCCTCATCTCCAAGACGATTCAGACCCTGGGAAGTCTCGCCAAGTCTAAATCTGTGCGTTTCTCTGATTAAAGTGTATTTTTCTATTTTCATAAATCAGACTACATTTATATTTCACACTAAAAAGTTAAATTCAAACACAACTTGCTGATCTTTCTCTCTCTCTGTCACTCTTTACTGTTCCGTACTTTCATTCCTTTCAAGGCCAATTTCAAAGAGTCTTACATGGCTGCATTTTATGACTACTTCAATGAGCAGAAATATGCAGACGCTGTGAAGAATGTGAGTGTTTGTTTTCTTTCCTAGTTATACGCAGTAAATCTCTGCCAGTTAGTAGACATATAATCAAATACTCTTTTTGTCTTGTACATCAAATGAGGATAAACTCTGATAAATAGATAATTAAATGTGTTTCTGAACACGAGTGGAGATATTTGAAAAGAACTGAAATAGTGGAGTGGATAGAGGAGATGTCAAAGTGTGGTTTGAGTGGACAAAAAAACCCACCGCAATAAATATGTTGATATATGACGTCCTTTACTTTCCACCACAGTTCCTGGACCTGATCTCCACCTCTGGCAAATGGGATCAGAAGAGTATTGAAACACCAATCATGCTCAAAGAGGGGTAAGAAGCCAACTTATTGTTAAACTGATAGTCAAGGAAAGAAACCCAACAAATAAACAAAAAATATACGCCACTGCTAAGAAGTCCAATATATGTAATATTACATTAATTTAGAGAAATTATGGAACGGTAATCTGAGATTTTGTAACTGTAGTAAAACTGTCTTTTGTACGGACTGTTACCGCAACATCAGTGACCTTTTCACTGCTAGTTAAGCATTTTTGTCCTTTTACCACCTTGTCACATTGTCTTGGCACTTTCTAGTTTCTAGCTTCAGACAAGACAGTTGGGTTGAACTGTCCAGACTCAGGGAAATTTGAGACATTTTGGGAAATATTTGCTTTCTGGCAGAGGGGTAAACATCTTGATTAGTGAGCTTTAGAGGTGCTATATTTATCATACAGACTGAGGAGTGGTATCAATCTTTTCATCCAACTCTCCGCGAGAAAGTGAATAAGTGTATTTTCCAAATTGTCAAACGAGTCCTTAAAGTTGTCACAGAAGTGGAGCTGGATTTTCCCTGTACATGTTTGACCCCTCATGGTCTGCTTCATTGTCAAAGTTATAGTAGAGATAGAGAAAGCAGAAGATATACCTGAGGCTGTAAACTGAGCGCTTTCTAACAACACATGGGCTGTTGTTTTGATGATATTCCTAATGAGGCTGTAAAGGGGAGGACAGTTTCCAGTTGAAAAAGTAGTTAGTAGTGCCAGCGCCTCGCTCATCAACATCCCCCACCCTCTTTTGTTTCTGCTACCGGGCATAGGAGTGTAAAACTCACAATAAAGAGGGTTGATGGGAAGGGGTCAAAAGGCACGAAGGGCAGGTAAGAGCTTCTCTATATAAAGGCTTTTGCCCTTGTGACCCCATGTGTGTGCACTGTAACCCCCCAAACCAAGCCGGCCATTTTCTCTCCCACCAACATCATGCGCTACAGTAGATGCTGCTGCACTTTACTTTATATCTGGCCTACATGTAAGCAACCTATTCAAGCAACTGTTACACTGTCTGACACTGTGTGATGGATTTGAAGTCTTTCTGCATTTATAGGGCAGTAGACTGATGCGTACAGTGACTATAATGATATAAAGTAAAGTGTTAACCTTTAAGCCTGCTTACCTAGGAGGCGTCACTAGTGCTGGTAGCCCTTTCTGTTCCTCGCCATGCCAGACATGCTTGGTGTGACAGTGACAGCAGGGGTTGGTTACTGTACAAACATTTCTGGGATCTCATATCTGACCGCATCCTGACCCTTTTGTTCAGACTGTGACCATATCCCTACCATACACAGTAGAGTTTCCAGCACAGCTCCAGGCGTTATGGCAGATGTGAAACCAGCACGTTCTTGGCTCAGTAGTGTGAAAAAAGTACAAGTCTTCCTGTGGGAGAGTAGTAACTTTGGTGTTTATAACCCTGATGCTTCATATTCCATGTATCCTCTGGCCCTCAATCTCTAAAACAAAGACATCCTGGTGTTTACTCTCCCTTAAAGGACCACACTGGCGGTTTTACATGTTTTAGCCCAAATAGAACAAATAGTGTATAACTCACATCACTGTCAAACATTATCCAAAGCTTACCATCAGTTTTTAGATTGATTTTAAGTTATTGGTTCCATTTATTTTTATTACACTATGAAAATTAATTTACAGAATGGAAACTTCCTTGAGATAGCTAATCCATTATAGTGACTTTTGCATGTATTTATTGGTAAATAAGTAGTAAGTTGAGGAGCACTGCATTCATGGGCTTCCCAGAATTTAAAAAGTAATACAATTTGAATGTCCTTGCTAAAAGTTTAATGTGAATTTCTTGTAGGGCAGCAACTAACTAATTATTTTTATTAGACATTAATCCGCTGATTATTTTCTCGATTAACTGTTTGAACTAGAAAATGGTGACACGTGCCCATCTGACTTTACAATGTGACATCTTCAGAAGTATTGTTTTGTACGACTAAGAGTTCAAAAACCAAAAACAATTCATTTTACAATGTTTTGAAAACAGAAAAGCAGCGAATCCTCACATTTAAGAAGCAAGGACATTTCCTTAGCATTTTGGCTTAAAAGTACCAGAAAAATTAATAATAAATTATCAAAATAGTTGCTGATTGTCTGTTGAATTACAAATTTCTTATTTGACTTGTATCCGCTCCAATTTTTTGCAGTTCTACAGCAGACACTGAGAGGTTCAGGGCATCCTTTTCAACACACCAACAAGAAGTGTTTACAAAATAGTTCACGTCTACGACTGCATTGCCACGTGACACGATGATATAACCTTGAAGTAAAAATAAACGTGACATAAATTGTTCAGTGTCATGGATTTGCTATCTCATGTTTCCAGTCTCAATTGCACGAGGGAAAAAAAGTGGCTTTTCGGAAGGTAGAAAATCAGTCTAAAATCTTGTGTTATGATTTGGCAAAAAGCCAGTAGTGATTTATACACATGGGTTAAAACATGCAAAAACACTGGTACCTTTGATCTGCTGACCCATCTCGTTTTTGACTCATAGACTGTAGAATCTATGACGTTTTATACACGTACAACAGCGATGGAGGACAAGGCAAGCATGTAAATGGAATGATAAAAGCAGACTATTGATTGCACAAGATTGCTTTAGCTGGAATGAAATGGCAGTTATCAAAAGTAATTCATTTACACTCAATACATTTAGGTACTGCACTATTCAAGCACTTTAGATACTATAAGGGATGCATTGTGCCAGAGATATAAAAATACTGTCATATATTTAAATATTTCTGTGAAACATAAGCTCATCTGCTAAAGTTTTCAGTGGTATTTCTCTCGCCCGTTTCCCCTCAGATTTATGATAAAGAGAGCACAAGGGAGAAACCGTTTTGGAATGAAGAACTTCAAGAAGAGATGGTTTCGCCTCACCAACCACGAGTTTACCTACCACAAAACCAAAGGTGAGGTCAAACGTTTGTCAGGATCTTCTTACAGTTGCATTGTTTCCTGGTCTGTTTATGTCATTGTGTGTGCTTGTGTAGGAATCAGCAGGACAGAGAGAATCTGCTGAATGTGCATTCAGCCTGAACGCAATGTGCGTTCTACACATAGTGGAGATTAAGTTACTGAGCAGGAAATACATTTGTGCTGCATCCAAACAAGCTCAGGCCAAAACTAACACATATGTTGTTTCAAACATTGCATACTGCATACTGGGTCAATATGCAGACTAAAGGGCATTTCAATGTTTTATGTTAATTGTGCTGTTGATGGACACTGTTCTTGATCTTGGAAAACAAAAATTAATGGTTGGAGATACAGCATGAGGTCCAAAGGAAAAGGAACAAAATTTGTACTTTTTCTTGGAGTTGTAACTCAATAAAATCTGAACACATAGACATGATAAACATATTTTTGGATTCACTGTGACCTCCACGTTTTAGGATATCATTAGCTCCAAATCATCACCAATATATGTCCAAAAATCTACTTACAAATACAAAAAGACTCCAGAACTTGCCTGAGAATCATTACGTTTAAAGTTTTCTTCAGTATCAAAGTAAACCAGTGATAATTATTTGAACAACAATGGGTACACTGCGAACAGGAACTGACAATAGCATAAAATTAGCTCAAGTTTATAAATATATTTATCATTTTACATACTTCTCCTTTATTTATTTATTTTTTTTTCTGATGTGATACCTTTTACCTCCAGGTGAGGGAGCTCTGTGCAGCATTCCCATAGAGAACATTCTGGCTGTAGAGAGGCTCGAGGAGGAGTCTTTCAAGATGAAAAATGTAAGGGCCCCACACAGTAACCCCTATGAGATCAATCTTTGGAGCTTTGAGCATTACTCCTACAAGTATATAGATGCTTCCCTCACTTGCTGTCAATTTTTCCCTCCTCCAGATGTTCCAGGTTATTCAGCCGGAGCGGGCACTCTACATCCAGGCCAACAACTGTGTCGAGGCACGTGACTGGATCGACATCCTGACCAAAGTCAGCCAGTGCAACCGCAAACGTTTAAGCACCTACCATCCTTCAGCCTACCTCAACGGCCACTGGCTCTGCTGCAAGCTCTCAGCAGACACAGCCCCTGGGTGTACGCCCTGCACTGGGTACGTAAAGTTGTCGAAAACTGTCCAGCACCAGGTTCCTGTCCTTTGTTTCCGGTCTTTCATCCTCCTGTGTGCATCTGTTTTTTAGCGGCCTGCCAGCAAACATCCAGCTGGACGTAGATGGAGACAGAGAGACTGAGAGGATTTATTCCCTGTTCAGCACATACATGACCAAACTGGGCAAGATGCAAGGTACCGACAATAGTGTTTATGAGCATGCGTGTGTACGCTTGCATTTTTCCCATGTTTGTCTGTTTGTTTTCATGATCTCTTTTGTTCTCTCTCTTACGATGCTGCGTGTCTTCCCCTGCAGAGGCCTGTGGCAGTAAGTCTGTGTATGACGGCCCCGAACAAGAGGAGTACTCCAGCTTTGTCATCGATGACCCCCAGGAGACTTACAAAACCTTGAAACTGATTGTTTCAGCCGTGCAGACCTTGGAGCAGCAGCACACCAAGTACAAACGTGACAAGTTCAAGAAGACAAAGATAGGCAGCCAGTATGTGATTTGTTTGTTTGTTTGTTTGTTTGTTGTTTGTTTACTTAGCAAAGACAATGCACAATACATATTTACTTGTGTAGTCTTACAATAATAGCTTTTTTAACATGCACAAAGTATGTTGGAGACTTAATGTAGCACTTTTAACATTTCAGATAACTTATAGCGTTAGCCACTAGTGTGAGCTGTTTCCTGGATTTTCCCTTCAGCCCAGTCACATTAGCGTTTGGTTTGTCGTTTGTGGATATTTTGGCCTCCACCTCTGTTTATTTTCTAATAATCATGACAGAAAACTTTGTTATTTATGTCCTAATTGTCTCCACAGAACACTCTATAACCTCCTTCCAGCAAATAAACACCATCTTTCTCTTTGTTTCCTCAGGGAGCATCCGATCGGAGACAAGAGTTTTCAGTGCTACATCCGCCAGCAGTCTGAGAGCTCCACCTACTCCATCTAGCCAAGGCCCTGCGTACTGTTTCTATGATGCCCAGAACCAGCATATTTTTTTTTACTGCAAAGAAATCCATCTTATCAGTGCTCTGAGTCTGGGGTTGAGTTTTAAATCTTTACTTTTCCTTAAAACAAGATATTAATCCATGCTTGGAAAATGTTCTTCAAAAAGGAATATTTGACTTTTTTAAAATACATTTCTGGAAGCAGGTGATGCTGTTTTTCACCTGACTGGCTTATTTGTTCAGTTTTAAGGAAAATAAGAGTTTTAAAGGTCAATACCAGACTGAATGTATGTGTGGAGATGGCCATTTTATGCAGTGTGTCAAGGTGCATCACTCCAAATTTTGGAGAACAGACCTCAGACCTCAGCAAGAATAAAAGAGGAACAATTGTGGAGGAAAGGAAGGATATGAATGAAGACATAATCGCACCATGCATCTATTGGGGTCTCCTTTCTGTGATGTGATGAGAGAACAAACAAACGTTTTCACTGGACAGTTTTGACAGTGACCAACACGCACTTTAATTGCCTCCAAATCTATGTATGAACAAGCCTCGCAGCACACTTTCAGAAAAGCTTATTTTATCTGTTTGATTTGTATTTGGTTATTTTAATGGTTGTTGAAATTATCCGTTGTATTTCATTCGAGAAGGAAGGAAGGAAAGAAGGAAGGAGTGTAATTTTCCCGTCTTTGGGTGGTGTTGTCCCCATGTTCTTTTTTAGTTTTTATCCCCCAACCTCCTCAGGAAGGCTGTGAAGGTCAAGGGCACACATAAAGGGATTGTCGGGACCAAGCACAGCCAAGAGCTTGACGTTAGCTATCACAGACAATTTTATCCCTCATTTTGAATCCTTCCATCAATGTGCTAACAGATGTATAGGTTTAAGTTTTCATGTTTCATTTAAAGCCTTGTTCTGTTGCGGTTTGATATCGTGGCCCTGTGTAACCAGTAACTGGGTTAAAGGAATCGCTTGTTTTTCTTTCTTTTTTTCTTCTTACACTGAGTCGGACAAACTTCATGGATGCCTTTTTTGTATTTTTGTATGCGGTTTGAAGGTATATTGAACAGTTTGCTTAAGTAAGACAAAATACACTTAATGGCAGATTAGTTGAACAAATAAATTAGTTTATGTCCAACTTCAAAACCAGTTTCTGTAGATCAGTGCCAGATTTCCCCGGAAGAACAAATTTATTCAGTAAAATGTATTGTGTAATCACAATGTAATATACGCAATATTCACTCATTGGCCACTTTATTAGGTATACCAGTACAATCTATTGCACATCTATACAACAGCTCTGCCCTAAATTCTATATTCACAAAGTTATAATATAATATAATAAGAATTAAAATATTCTGTTTTTGGTGACATTGTCGGAAACGTGTAAATTCTAATATGTTTATTATTTAGGTCGTAATTAAAGGTGCTGTTGTACTGAAATAGCTCTGAATATAAAGCAGTCCAGTACAACACCACCGATAACTATGACATCAATGCTTTAATTACCACCTCAATGTCAGTGTCCCAAAGTACTGAACATAAAGGCACCATAAAAGAAGACTTTATGACAGAACAGTTGTATTGGATTGCATTAGATTTTACAGGTGAACCTAATAAAGCGGCCCCTGTTGGTCTGTAATTCCTGGAAATATTTGTATTAGTAATTCCTAGAAAAGTAGCTTAATTTAACTGTTGCAGGTTCCTATGCAATGTATATTGCCTCTTTTAACAGGTTGCTTGTGTTAGGCTAAGATTGCCATTCAACATACCCTCAAACTGAAAGCAGCCATAACAAAAGCATATGTTTGTTTCACTCTGTGCAAGTGGAAAAAGTAGTTAAAGCCAAACGATCCCTTCAACTTTCACAAAGCAGAAACTATGTGTTAGCACAGCTCATTAACAAGGATGGTTTTAGCTTAACTTCTAATTAATCAATATACTAACATTTTAACCAGTCTCGTCTTCAAGTTATGATTGTGAAATGGGTAGTGTGTTACTGGTTGTGTTGCCCTGTTGGCTGCCTAATAATGTAGATCTCCTGTTTTTGTGAGTTCAGCTCTGTCTTACTTTGGCAAAGCTGCACCCCTGTAGTTTAAAACTTATTTATGTGCATTCCTCTGAGAAACTGCCTGCTGTGAATCTTACCCATCAGCACCCCAGAATCTGTTGAAGGTACAAGATTGAGTGTTGTTAACCAGTTGTGTTGTTCCATGCTTCCCAAAGGCAACCACTCATTAGCGTTCATATTCATCAGCACTCATTATCGCCAAACCAGTGTATGTGAAGTATAGTTGTAGTCACAGCGATGGTAGCCTCCACAGTCGCTTCTGCGCAACCAGGTGACTATAAACGAGAATCTTTTGTATTTTCCAAAACTGAGTACTTAGTTATGTAGCCTCATGGGTGTTCCCGTGATCACAGGATCCCAAACAGTGCCAGTCATCACTTTTATAAAATTCTCTTTTTTGAAAAACAAACAAAAAAAATCATTGTTTGGATATGTTTTTTTTATATATATATATCTCAAAACCTATACTGTTTTAAAAACAGACGAGCAATTATTCAGATGACATCTTTTTCTTTGTTGAATATGTTGATCTGCGAACTGTAAGGAAGGTTCGCAACTGTTTGACTCTGTTTTCTATCTTTGTCTTGTCATACAGAAATATCGCTGTGTATCTGAATTGAATGACTGAAGTGTGCGTGTTTCGTGCGTGTTTTTGAGTGTAGTATGTGCATGAGTGACTGACATGACGGGTTGTATTGCCAATTGAATTAACCCAGTGTTACAGGTCAAGAAAGGCATAGTCCCACTTGTTAAAAAAAGAGAAAATCACTGCCTGTAATATAAAGACTGTAGTAGGACTATGGAAACACTGTTTTGCTCTACTCTGGCCTGATCTAGTGTATCTCCTCTTTCCTCTTCTATAGAACCACTGTTCCGTTTCGAGGAACCTTTGCCAATATATTCTTCCCAAACATTTTATGTATATAACAACACTGATGAAACATTAAGAGAACAGCATTGCTTTAACCTCTGAACTTTGGTGAGTGTTTGTTTCCACCAGTTACTAACTCTCCTCAGGTTTATGAAACTCAGCAGTTTTTTTGCCAAGACCGACTAGACTCGGACTGAATTACGAACCACCAAACATCTTTCTCTCTCATCCCTAACTTGGTAATCATATTTATTGTCATTTTCAGGAAAAACTTCCCAGAAACATCAGCTGAGTTGGTGTGGTAATGGCAGTTACAGTAATGTCAACACCTCCACCCCGAAGTCCACAAAAGAATGGCTTATGCAATACTGGTGTTTCAGCATGCAATAATATTAACAATCCCTCAATAAGATCATCAAATTATCACAAATTAACTACGCACATCTGCTGACCTTTTGCAGTAAAATGCCTCTCAAGATAAACACATATTATAAAGGGAGAACAGTGTATTTTTTACAAATACTTTAAAGGTATTAAAAGCCTGTTATATGTGTACATAACAGTTGAATGAATGGTGAAAATGTGATGTGTTTTTTTCCCTGAATAACTAAATGAAACCAATATTAATGCAAACACAGGTGTGCGTGTCATTTGTTAAATGGTTCAGTTTGACTCTATGCTACATCAACAGCTTCGTTTTGCTTTAGTTAGTTAAAAAAATGTAAAAATTATTTGTGTGCAGCACATTGAGGTGTTCATTTTGAGTTGGTTGAGCTTTACGCTGTATTTTGCTCATACAAACATGTCTGCGGAAAGAAGTTTGGCAGTACTGTGTGTGCGACTGTCTTAATCAGACACAAACAAAACAGAATATTACAACATCTTTCACTGAGTTGACAGACAGAGATGCCATCATGAATTTTGAGGTCCGGGGTTGGTGAAGTTCTTTTGACTTTCCTAGTTAGAAATCTGACTTCGGTGGGGGAGGTCGTTCCAGTTGAAATTTCCGACTTCCCAGCACAAATCACGCTCATAGAACTGGCCTTTAAAATCTAATTTTCAATTAGCACTGAGAAACTTTCCACTTTCAGCATGTGAAGACATATTTCTGGTGTCAAACTCTGCACATACATCATTC